TTTTGTATTTTTGTCTTTTGTATTTCCATCACATCAGTTTAATGTGTGCTTTATCATTTCTATGTTTGATTCTTCTCAGTTATTTCTTTATTAACCTGATTAAAAGCCTGTGGATGTTGTTTATCCTTTGAAAAAACCAACTGTTTATTTCATTTATCTTTTACATTGTATTTTAAATATTCTGTTGTTTATTTCTGCTCTGATCTTTATTATTTATTCTTCTCAGAGTTTGGTTTGTTATTTTGTTATTTTTTATGAGGAAAAGTATTAGATTTTTTTTGAGAACTTTCCTATGTTTTTTTTAAATATCTTTATTTTACATTTATGTGGTGTTGAAGATTGAACCCAGTGTCTCTTGCATGCTAGGTGAACACTCTATCACTGAGCCACAACCCCAGCTCCTCTTATGTTTTTTTTTTTAGTATTTATTTTTTAGTTATAGTTGGGCACAATACCTTTATTTTATGTATTTTTATGTAGTGCTGAGGATCGAACCCAGGGCCTTACACATGCTAGGCAAGCACTCTACCGCTGAGCCACAACCCTAGTCTGAGAACTTTCCTATGTTTTGATGTAGACATTTATTGCTATAAATTTCCCTCTGAATGCTGCATTTGCTTTCATAATTTTTGGTATGTTGTGTTTACATTTTCATTTGTCTGTGGAGATTTTTAAAATATTCCTTTTAATTTCTCCATTGGCTCATTGGTTGTTTAGGAGAATTTTTCCCCCTTCTTTTTTTCAGGGCTTGTGATCAAACTCAGAGCTTCACACATGCTAGACAATGCTCTGCCACTGAGTTGCAGCCCTAGCTCTGGAATGTTGTTTAGTTTCTATATATATATATATATTATTAGAGATGACTTTAATGTTTAAATGTTAGGGTCGTTTTTCAAAAAGGCACAAGAAAAACCAGATTTATTAAGTAGTATGAAAGAATTTTTGATTAAGCTTACGTTAGCATTTTAGAAACTAAAAAGTTCAAATGCCAGGGGCTACCATTACCATGAATACAATGAAGATAAATTTCTTATCACCCATAAGTTATATAAACTCAACTGAAGTAGAATAACAATAATCACTGTAAACATTTTTGGAACTCTACAAAGTTATTATTTCAATGTCTGTAACATTGGGAAATATTTAAAATTACATTTTGACCACTGATTTAATTAACAGTGACACAACAAGTTGAGGGAAAGTATATTGTAATAGTCTGAAATAAAAACCTATATTTTTCTTTTCTTCACTTACTGTGTAATTAACAAAAATGTATATATTTATGGAGTACATCATGCTATTTTGATATATTATATATATTATGGAATTCCTCACATTTTTTTCATAGTGAAAACATTTGAAATTAATAGCATTTCTCAAGAATACAGTATTTTTTATTAATCAGAGACACCATGTTTTACAGTCTTGGAACTCATTCCTCCTTAACTGAAATTCTGTATCCATTCACCAACATTTTACAAATCCCCCAGCCCCACCCCATTCCTCTGGTGATCACCACTCTACTCTCCATGAATTCTATTATTTTTTTAGAGTCCACAAATGAGAACATACTGCAATTATCTTTCTATGCTTCACATATGTCATTCAGTATAATTTCTCTAGGTTCATTTATGATGTCCCAAATGACAGGATATGTATTTTTATGGTTTCTAAAGTTCCTCCTATAATTGATTTCTAATTTTGTATCATTGTTGTTGGAAATAATTCTTGATATATTTCAAATTTTTAAAATATTTGATAAAGCTTGTTTTGTGGCCTACTAAATGGTCATTCTTGGAGAACGTTCTGTGTGCAATTGAGAAGAATATGTATTCTACAACTGTAAGCTGGAAGGTTATGTATAATGTTCTTAGATCTAGTTTGTCTAAAGTGCAGTTAAATTTCAGTATTTCCATGTTAATTTTTCTGTCTGATTAATTTGTTGAAAACGTGATAGTGAAGTCTCCTAATTTTATTGTCTCACTCTCATCTCTATCTAGTTGTCCTTTTATGTCCATTAATATTTTCTTTATATACTTAGGTGCTCTGATATTGGCTAGCCATATATATATGATTATTATATCTTTTTGATAAATTGAGCCCTGTATCATTAAATAATGACTTTCTTTGTATCTTGTAGCAGTTTTTTTTCTGTGCTGAGGATTGAACCCAGCCGGTACTCTACCATTGAGCTAAGTCCCCCAATTCTTCTTGAACAGTTTTAAACTTGAAGTCTATTTTATCTGATATAAGAATAGCTGCACTTGCTCTCTTTAGGATAATATTTGCATGAGATACCTTATTTTCTCTCTTCACTTTTAGCCTATGTTTCTCCTTAAGACTAATCTACCAGGCTGGATATAGTTGGATCTTGTTTTTCAATTCTTTCAACCACTGTGATTTTTGATTGGAGATCTTAATACATTCACATTCAAAGCAATTATTGATAGATAAACAGTTATTATACCATTTTGTTGCTGTTTTCTTATTGTTTGTAGACCTTTGTTCCTATCTTTCTCTGTTGTTGTTCTCTCTGTGATTTGGTGATTTTCTTTAGTGCTCTATTTTATTTCCTTTCTCTTTATCATCTGTGTGTCTTCTCTAGTTTTTTTTTTTTTTGCCTTGCTACCACAGGCTTATGTGCAATATTTTATAGTTACGGTAGTCTGTTTTGCACTGATGACACCTTAACTTCAGTTAACTTCTAGTCATTTTTTGCAGTGCTGAGGTTTGAACTTCAGGTCCCACACATGCTAGGCAAGTGCTCTACCACTGGGAAACATTCCCAGCCCAGAACTCTATAGACTTTAAATCTCTCCCCAGAAGGCATGCGTGTGTGTGTGTGTGTGTGTGTGTGTGTGTGTGTGTGTGTATTTCTCCCTTTTATCTTTTTTTCACTTGTTTTTGCAGTGCTGAGAATTGAAACCAGGACTTGGTGCATATTAGACTAACACTCTATTACTTGAGCTGCACCCCCAGCCCCCAATTTCTATTTTTGATGTCACATTTGACATTTTTACATTATATATTTCTTAAAAGCTTATTGAAGCTATTGTTATTTTTTTGAAAAATATTTTCTTAGTTGTCAATGAACTTTATTTATTTATATATGATGCTGAGAATTGAACCCAGTGCCTCACACATGCTAAGCAAGTGCTGTACCACTAAGCCACAACCCCAGCCCCTATTGTTATTTATTTATTATCATTTTGAGTTTTAACCTTCATACTAGAGATATATGTGATTTACAGAGCACAATATCAATAGTGTGGTATTCTGGATTTGATTATATATCTACCTTTACCTGTGAATTTTATACTCTAATATAATTTTTGTATTAGTAATTAGTGTCCTTTCATTTCTACTTGAAGAATTCCCTTAATCATTTCTTGTAAGACAAGTCTTTTGGTGATGAATTCCCTCAATTTTTCTTGTCTAAGAAAGATTTTATTTTTCCTGCATTTTTCTGAAAGAGATTGTATTCTTGGATATAGTATTCTTGGTTGACTGTTTTTTCTTTCAACACATCAAATATATCATTCCCTTTTATGTTGTCCTACAGAGTTTCTGCTGAGAACTCAGTTGTCTAACAAGGACTCTCTTATAGTGACTGGCTGCTTTTCTTTTGCTGCTTTTAAATTCCTTGTCTGACTTTCGACAGTTAATTTATTGTGCTTTGCAGTGAAGACCACTTGGGATTGAATCTGCTTTTGGAATTTTCAGTTTCATGTATCTGGATATCCATACCTCTTCTAAGAATTGGAATGCTTTTAACTTTTTTTTTTCTTTAATTAGGTTTTTTTTCCCCTTTTTTTTTTTTTACTTTCCATAATGCAAATGGGGGTACTGCTTCACCTCAGTCCTGGGATGCATGGCTGCTTGGTCAGCCAAGACACTAATTTCCCAGGAGATGATGCACTACTTCAGCTCAGCCTCAGGGAGCATGACTTCTCTGAACAGCAAGCCACTTTTCTGGAAACCCTGGTATGCAGAGTGTCGCTTCAACTTAGGCGAAAGGGAACTGCAATGACCCTGAGTACTATTTTTTTTTTTTTTTGGTACCAGGGATTGAACTCAGGAGTACTCAACCACTGAGCCATAACTTCAGCCCTATTTTGTATTTTATTTAGAGACAGGGTTTCAATGAGTTGCTTAGTGCCTCACTGTTGCTGAGGCTGGCTTTGAACTTGCGATCCTCTTGCCTCAGCCTCCTGAGCTGCCGGGATTATAGGCATGCACCACTGCACCTGGCTCAAGTACTATTTTCTGTAGAGCTAGTGCACTGGTTCAGCTCAGGCAGGACTGGATAGGTCGTAGTGACTGGGAAGGGTAGATGAAGTGGCTTTATGGCAGCTTGCCCCCAAGGAGAAGGGCACAGCCACCAGCTGGCTACACTTCAGGGGTGGAAAGGTGCCATGACCTCTTATCCCTGGAACAGGACACACTCCAGCAGTGGCTGGTTCCAAGATGGCCTCAGCTGCATAGGCCACAGGGGCTGGGGCTCAGTGTTGCCTCCTTCTCTTGAGGGAGCACAGCTGTGTGTACTCTAGGCTGCTCACACAGCTGAAACTCTGTAGGACAACTGTAGACCCCAGTGGTGAGGAATGTAAGTGCCCAACATGTTGGTGATAGCTACTGAGTTCTCTTGCTTACTTTTACCACCTTGGGAGGAAATCCCTCCTGGTTCCAAGCTGACATCTGCTGGGAGATGGGAGATGGAGGCCAGAAATTTACTTCCATTCCCTGAGGCCATCCTGGGGTTGATATACTCTGGTACTCTCCTTTAGTTATTTTATTTTCATCAAAATTTATTTGGTTGTTTCTTATTCTGGCTGTCTTTGTGGATTATTGAGCACTAATGACTTCTAGCAATCATTTTGCTGATGTCCAAGGAGTCTGCCATTTTTAAAATTCAGCCCAGAACATAGGTGGAATCTTGTTTACCTGATAACAAGTCTCTAATTACTTAATCAATTCGTACTCTTTTTCCTCTTCCCTAGCATGTCCTCAGCAGGAGAGCGACATTGCCTTTTTGATTGATGGCTCTGGTAGCATCATTGAAAACGACTTTAGGAAGATGAAGGACTTTGTGTCAACAGTGATGGACCAATTCAAAAAGTCTAAAACCTTGGTAAGGGCTCATACCAGGGTGGCAAATACATGGCAGCTAGATTGCCATTGTTCCCCACTACTGCAATAGCAGACATGGCAAAATGGACATCTGATGGTTATGTTGTTTTATGATTCTATTTTTTGATCTGCTTGGATGCACCATAAGCATTCTTTCAAGTAGGCAGCTCGACAAATAGGGGTGGCATGGGAGATGAAACCCACATGTCACTTCTTGTAGAATTCTAGTATTGAAAGTGGGTGGGAGCTGTAGAGAAGAAATATGGAAATTGGAGTGTTGCAGGGTTTATGTAAGGCTTGCTGGAGATGAGGAGCACCTTCTTCAGTCTAATGCCACTGCCCTGTTTCCAGTTCTCTTTGATGCAGTACTCAAATGAATTCCAGACTCATTTTACCTTCAATTATTTCAAGAAAAATCCTAACCCAAGATTGCTGGTAAACCAAATAAGACAACTGCAGGGGACAACATACACTGCCACAGGAATCCGCAAAGTAGTGTAAGTTCTTCCTTCTTTGCTTAGGATGGAAGGAGGAGATGATTTTAACTGGGCTTTGAAGGATGTGGGAATTGTTCAGATAAGAATGGGGCAAAGGTTTGAAGGAAGTCTGTATGTAGTATTTTTTTTTCTATTGGTGCATTATAATTTGCTTAATAGTGAGATTCATTGAGATATTTTCGTATATGCACATAATGTAATTTGATCAATCTCATTCTCTAGTACCTCACCTTCTCTTGCCCTCCTTCTTCTCCTGGGTCTCCTTTCTCTAATATGTTAATGAAAAAATTGTGCATAAATGTGGAAGTAAAGAGAGGAAGTGAAAGCTGGGTGGGGTGATGCATACCAGTAATCCCAGTGGTTTGGGAGGCTGAGGCAGGAGGATGG